CGATGATCACGCTTCAGAAGCTTTGCGATTTTAAGAGTGCTGCATCCCTCTGCAAGATATCTCACTATTTTTGACTTTTCTGAGCCTGTCATGTCCCTCTTTTGACCCATTTTGCCAAAGGAAAGGAAGTTGCCTAATAATTATGCACACCTGATATAGGGTGTTGATGTCATTAGACCACACCCTTTCTCATTACAGAGATGCACATCACCTAATATGCTTAATTGTTAGTAGGCTTTCGAGCCTATACAGCTTGGAGTAAGACAACATGCATAAAGAGGATGATGTGGTCAAAATACTCATTTGCCTAATAATTCCGCACTCCCTGTAAAGCAGCTTGCTGGGTATTAAAAAAAGAATCTCATAACCACTTAAGCGCTGGGCTGTCATGTGTTGTGTGGTGAGATTTGTTATCAGCTGAGTGACCTGGTGACTGGCATGAAGTATTGTAAGATGTCCTAGTGTGATAGTAGTAGCAGTTTCAACAGCCATGGCACATGCTATCAATGCTCTGAGACACGCCGGCATACCCTGTACCGCAGCTCAAACTACTTTGGAAAAGAATGCTATGGGACGCATACCGCCTCCTTGCTCTTGTGCACAGACCGCGGCCATGGTTTTACAATTGTCCCAAGCATACAAATGAAATGGTTTACAATACACAGGTAGTCCTAAAGCCTGGGCTTGCACAATAACAACTTTAAGGGCAATATATGTAGCTAGCATGTCTGGTGACCAGCAGACATTTTCAGGGCTGTCAGAACGTACAGCCTCCCTTAGGACTGAGTCATAATGGGAGCATTCAGGGATCCATTGGTGGCAGTAATTAATCATGCCGAGGAAGGTGAGCAACTCCTTCCGCGTAGTGGGTGTAGGAATCCTCTGAATTACCTTAATACGTTTTGGACTCAATTGTCTGGTGCCTAAAACCTGAACAAAACCTAAGTATTCAACCTTTGATTTACACAATTGCATTTTGTGTTTAACAACCTTGTGACCCACAGTTGCTGACAGTATCCACAGTGCTTGCCTCATAGCTAGGGCTACATAACAACAAATCAACATTTTGCAAAAAGGACTGAACCATGACCGGTGGTCCATGTTTTTTAGAGTATCTTGGAGTACCAACGAATAAACAGCTGGGGAATCCACATAGCCTTGGGTAAGCGTGTCCAGGTAAACTGACAGCCTTCAAAAAGTAAAAACCATAAGTAGCTGTGTCTCTTGATCAGTAGGTATAGAAAAAAATGCATTACTTAAATCAATGACAGTGAAGCAAGTGGCATCATGTGGAATGGCTGTAATGAGGGATGTCACATCAGGGACAATGGGTGAAATGGGCACAATTAAACTATTCAGGGCACTAAAGTCCTGAACTAAGCGATATGCTGGCCAGTGGTGTTGGGAGTGGGTCTGGTGGTGTTCTTGCCTACCGGGCATATTTTGAGAATTGTGGGGTTGTTGGGGTGTGTGGGGATTCCTGGGGTGTGGACACTCATTCCTCCAGTGGCCATATTGGCCACAGTCGAAACAAGTGTTCCTGTCTATTCCTCCTTGGTTACCCCTGCCCCTATAACCCTGATTTCCCTGTCTCCATCCCCTCACCCCTCTTTGACCACCCCTTCCACGGGCTTTATGTGCTCCATCCCATCCTCGCTCTCAGCCTGTGTAGGTGGACAGTGTTGCAATCCCTGAGCATAATAAGCAACCTTACTTTCCTAAATCTTTTCTTAAGTCAAAACAACCTGCATTTTCCTTTTCTATAACCTTGGTAAGAAAATCTGAGCTACCCAAATTGGCCCAGTCTGAAATCAATTGTTTCACAAGCAAAGAATACTGTGGCAACATATTACCAAGGCATGACTGTATTTTAAAGAGATCTATATCATCTCCAGACGTCAAACCTGCCTCATCCTTCCAACACTTGTAAAATTTCTTTACAAAAATCATATTACCAATCTCTTCCTTTGCATCTTGCTTATATGCCAAAGCAGTGAATATAGACTGCTTATTCTTCCATAATCCCAACATTTCAGCTTCCACCTTGTTCCAAATTTTAGCACATCTTACTGAAGTACTAAGCTCATAATCACCAATTCATTTCAAACCATATAACTCATACTCCGCATCCAATGTAATATTACACGTCATCTCTCAAAACAATATCTTTGTAGAAACACATAATGGGTACCCAGCAGATATGCCAATACAGAAATCACATTTATGAGCACACAACTACACACTCTGTCTCCCTCCTAGGAAACACTGATAGACACAATATAAAAGCAATCTTAAACTAACACCTCCAAATCTCCAACTATTCTTGGCCAAAATGCTAGTATTCAACAACTAATAAAACAGTTATTTGCTAGGTTACTTGGCTGTCATTCTTATCAGTATCACTAGACTGTGACAAACTGATTCACATATAATTTAAAACAATACAGCAACATATAAATTAAACCACTTTCAAGTTAAACTGCACACTTATCACACATTATCACAATCATCATTTACACAGAATAAACAGTTAACAGCTGTATTCAGAACATATTATTAGAAGGTATACCAATTTTAGTTTAGATTTATTTTAGGGATTCTTATGTATACATTTTCTTAATTAACTTCATTACTTTAATTTACTATAGTATTGTATATAAAGAAAGGATCCATTTATATAGCGCGCTCATAACTCAACTATTTGTATAAAACTTCCATTAACTAATCTGAGATGATGCTGCATCAACTTAAATCTTATAGAAATTGAACAAACATCTGGACCAGATTAAACAGACATGGTTTCACCAGAATCTTTCAGAACTCTCAGAGACTTAAAACATTTTTTATTCTATACCATGTTTTAAAGGCATGGCAAACCTTAGACCGGTCAGTCTCCAAGAGCCTTAGTACAGCAGGTAGAAACCTTTGTCCATGATTTCTGATCCAGGCTATATACCACAATTTAAAATAACACATAATGTGAGACATAGAAGACACAAGCAGTAGTTATTACACTGGATCATTTAAAATGAATCTGTCGCAATAAAAAGGTTAGTTTACAGCGCAAAATAAAGCATGTGTTGGACCGCTGAAAATGTAAATGTTGCTCTGTTATTTTCAAACATAAATCATATTTAGTATGGATCCTTTGCAACAAACACACAGGGCAGGGAAGATGTGCTGATTGGTGTTTCTATACAATTAATCCCATATGGGGAATTAACTTTCAAATACTAATGAAGTGCTTCCTTTTTGTCTCAGTATGAAATATACTGAGCTCATCATTTCAAAAAAAGTAACTCATTTACACTTATCCCACTCTCATAAAAAGTGTAGTGGGCTTATGGTATTTTTAAAGCAACAATCATACCAGGCACACAGATCCCATGTGAAATAACTTACAATAAAACAGAGTAATAAACTTATACTTCTATGCGACAGAAAGAATAAAGTAAAAAGATTTAAGTAGGTCTATCAGGTACAACCTCTGAGTCATTTCTTTTCTAATATACAGTACTGCTATCTTGCAGAAAGATAAGTCCTGCGCTCACTCCCATCACTACTGGGCAGCAGCAAGGACTACAGTACACATCAGCCCCAATATATGGTAAAAACCAAAGAAAAACAAGTTACCTGCATTCTCTCCTTAATCCCTATGTATTTTTAAAACCTCCATTTGTTTAAAAGTACTGCTATCTTATATATACACATATACATATACACACACATATATACATACATATATTGGTCACTCAGGACCTGAACTCACATTTCCCATACTGCTGACTCAGAGTGGGGACACTACTAACTTACCAAAGTGTGTCCCCAATATAGACAAACAATCACCCACAAAGAACACTTAAAACAAACAAAGGTGACCGGGAGAAAGAGAAGTTTTGGTTATACTTATAGATCTATAAACCGTGCTCCTGAGAACACCTATAGTCTTAATAAACCGGAGACCTCTTATGGTCTCAAAAACCTGTATCTACCTGAGATACCCTGTATCTATCTTAGATACTAACCTGGGTTACCAAAACCCTATATATTTAGACCAAATGTCTAATAAACCGGAGACCTCTTATAGTCTCAATATAAACCGGAGACCTCTCATGGTCTCAATATAACTAGAGTCCTTACACCTTTCCTATTTACTGGATACAGACTTACTGAACCAAATGGGGGGTCATAGACAATCAGCATCAAATAAGACACAAAAAGGCTACTCACTGCAATGGTTTTGCTGATCCATCCATCCCACTTCAGACACCAAGCTGAAAGGGTTAATGCTGTAATGGACTCAAATCCCCTCGGTTCTCGATCCCTCGGGCACCATAATCATGTTGATGGAGAATCATTGTCACCAATAAGACACGGACAACAGGATGCTTGACAAGACTCTCAAATGAGTGTATTCCAGAGCTAGCTTTTATTCATAGTTTGCTTACATTAGCCATGAGATATGCCATACAGTACAGACTATAAGATTTATTACTTCCTTATATTACATGTTATTCTGACAATGGAAAGATAAGCTTTTGCATACGTCTGGGGAAGAATATCCTGAAATCGGAATGGGCAAGACATCCTGAGATTTAGCATTGTCTTACACCCTATAGAAGAAATACCTTAGTCTGTCACAGTCAGCATATTATGTCGTAAATTGAGCTTAACTATTTCATATCCTTTCAGTCAGCAATACTAATTATACACTTTATAAAAGCATGAAATACATATGAACAAGTTAACTATTTCATATTCCTTACAGTGACCAGTTTTGCTCTTGGCCAGGTTATTATTCCAGCTGGGTACCTGATGTCTGGTAGGGCATATGTGTTGATGGCTTGGATCTTGTTCTTGCTTTTGAGCTGGGACTTCAGGACCTGTCTGACTCTTTGGAGGTACTTCAATGTTGCTGTCCTCCTTGCCTCTTCCTCATGGTTGCCATGCGTTTGTGGTATGTTGGAGCTATGGATGAATAAGAGACCATCATCTATCCTAATACCAAAACAGCTTGTGTGTGTGTGTGTGTGTGTGTGTGTGTGTGTATATATATATATACACACACACACAATGTATGTACACACACATACATACATACAAATGGCTCAACAAATTCCAGGCGCCAGGTCGCTACAGCGACAAGAAATTTCTTCCTGCCGCCTAGGATTTGTCAACCCTTGCTAAGTTACGCATGAAGAATTGAAGCTGGCCGTCGCGGGGAGCAGTAACCTTCCTGCAGTTCCTCTCTGCTCCCTCACGTGCTGTTTAGTGACATGATGTCACTCTGGCCTTGGCATCACTACAGAGAGAGCACAGGGGAGCAGAGAGAAACTGCAGGAAGATTGGAGGAGCCTCACTGGACACCAGGGAAAGATCCATTCAGCTCTCCTGACAGTAGTGAGGCTGGGTGGATATAAATTAAAATCAAAATAGTAAGAAAATGTATGTGTGTGTGTGTGTGTCTCAGTCAGAGAGTGTGTGCCTGTCAGTGTACGTCTGACAGAATGTGTGTGCCTCAGTCAGATTGTGTGCCTGTCAGTAAGTGTATGTTTAGGTACCTACCTCCCTGATCGCATGAGAAAGGCGTTTTTATACAGACTGACCCATATATACACACACAGACTGACTCCCATACACACACAGACTAAGACCCCCCTCCCACACACACACACAAACACACAGACTGATTTGCACACACTTACCAGCAGCTGCCTCCACACTCATGCAGCTGAGCTTCCTCTTCCTGTCTCACCCCTGCGCTCTCTATGACCCAGCAGGAAGTGTGGGAACTGAAGGACTGCTGCAGCAGCTTGTGAAGGGAGACTCAGTGCTCTTGACTTCTATTTCAATTGGAGGGGTACAAAGGAGGCACGGCATGATGGAACCCCTCCCCCCCAGCAATGCCCATGCCCATGGAATAGGCCCATTCTGTGTGTTTTTTTTTTCTTACACACTACTCTTAGGTTTGCCACCTTTGAGGCTGCTTGCAGTGATACCGGCAATACACATGTAGATATTTTTCTCAGTATAAATGGAGATTACTCTGCAATGCCTGCACCGGCCAGTAGGGGTCATTGTGTGTGGAGATATGAAGGGATAGGAAGTTACAGCATATACCTACATTTCTCTACTCACTGATCCGCGGGGGAGCAGCTACCCAAGAGAGTTCAGACAGCAACTCCCAGCCTGCAGAGACAGCTACAGCTCAGGTAAGTGAGGGATGGGGGGGAAAGGCAGCAGGGAGACATGGGAACACTGAGACACTAGGGGACAGTGGGGACACTGAGACACTAAGGGACACTGAGATATATGGAGTTATTTTTAGGGGATACCATCTGGGAGGAGATATGCTACCCAATTTATTAATACCAACCCAGGTAGCTATGCAGCCAGGGAACATTCTTGGCATCCCACAGATTTCCCTGAACTGAAGAAATTCTGTGCTCTTACTATGCTCATGGGAATTATAAAGAAGCCACTAATTCGCTCTTACTGGAGCACCAACCCTCTCTAGTCCAGTGTACTCCCAAACCAACATCTAGAGCAAGATATGAGTTGCTGCTCCGCTTTTTACACTTTAATGACAATACTCCTGTCTCTTTATGTTTTGGTGGGCTACAATTCTTTCACACTCCCAGACTCAACTGTAAAGGAGGTGGCGTAGGCATCCTTCTCTCCCCTCAATGTACCTTTCAACCAATCATAACTCCCCCTGCCCTATCCTTTTCTTCTTTTGAAGTTCACACTGTCCGCCTATTTAAACCCACTCCTTTAAGAATTGCTATCATCTACCGCCGCCCCTGTTATCCTAGACTATTCATTGAGCACTTTTCTTCCTGGCTTCACCACTACCTCTCATCTAGCACTCCTTCCCTTATACTTGGGGATTTCAATATCCCAATTAATAACCCCAATTGCACTGATGCCTCTCGTCTGCTCTCTGTAACCTCCTCCTTTGGCCTTACGCAATGGTCCAATTTAGCAACCCATACAGCAGGAAACACTCTTGATCTTGCCTTCACCAACCTCTGTACTGCCTCTAATCTTTCCAATATTCCTTTTCCTCTATCTGACCACCATCTGCTGCTAACTTTTGACATTGGCATACCTAAGACCCAATTGACACCACCGTCTGAACATCACTCTCACAGAAACCTCCAATGACTTGACCTAGAGCATTTCTCCACTAATCTCCAAAATGCTCCAAAACTGCTGAACGCTGTTGGAGAAAGTCTCACTGTGCATCTGACTTTCTCCACTATAAATTTATGCTGAGCTCATACAGATTGCCTCTTTCCTCTGAAAAAGTTAATTACTTCAATACCCTCATAACCACACTCTCCCACGAACCCAAACGACCATTTCACACATTTAACTCTCTTCTTCGCCCTGCTGTTCCTCCTCCACCTACTAACTTGACCGCCTCAGACTTTGCAACTCACTTCACTGACAAAGTCTCTACAATCAGAGAAGAGATCTCTCATCTTTCTTCTTCCCCTTACAATGCTTCCCCAAACTTCACTCCCTTTGCTGTTCTATGTTAATTTGCACCCGCTACATTGGAAGAGGTTTCTGCTCTGCTCCAGTCCTCCCGCCCCACCACCTGCTGCCTAGATCCAATTCCCTTGCGTCTCATCCGTACTCTGTCTTCTTCTCTTTCTCCACCTCTCACTAAAATTCTCAATCTCTCTCTCTCTCCTCTGGTATATTTCCATCGCCTTTCAAACATGCAACTGTAACCCCAATTCTAAAGAAGCCCAATCTTGACACTAACTCCCCATCCAACTATTGTCCTATCTCGCTACTGCCTTTTGCATCCAAGATCCTTGAAAGAATTGTGTATGCAAGATTGACAGACTTCCTCGAGTCCAACTCACTGCTAGACCCGCTTCAGTCTGGTTTCCACGCTAAGCACTCTGTGGAAACGGCACTGACCAAAGTATCCGATGATCTACTCGCTGCAAAATCTCACGGTCACTACTCTATCCTAATTCTCCTTGACTTGTCTGCGGCTTTTGACACTGTTTATCATCAACAGCTTCTTCTCATCCTCCGTAATATCAGTCTACAAGATATTACTCTCTCCTGGTGCTCCTCCTACCTCTCCCAACGCTCTTTCAGTGTTTCTTTCTTTGGCTCTGCTTCTTCTCCCCAACTCCTCTCTGTTGGTGTCCCCCAAGGTTCAGTCCTTGGTCCCCTACTGTTCTCCATCTATACTGCCTCCCTTGGTAAACTCATTAGCTCCTTTGGCTTCCAATATCATTTCTATGCAGACGACACGCAAATCTACCTGTCCTCTCCTATTCTCTCCCCGTCCCTCTTGTCTAGTGTCTCTGACTGCCTCTCTGCTGTTTCCAACTGGATGGCTGCCCACTTCCTTAAACTAAACTTGACCAAAACTGAAATTCTGGTCTCCCTCAAGTGTTGTTACTCCTGTGTCTGTCTCCCTCCAAGTCAACGGTGCTAACATCAGTTCCACCACGCAGGCTTGCTGCCTAGGTGTTCTCTTTGACTCCGACCTCTCCTTCTCAAGCCTCATGTTCAATCTATCGCCAAATCCTGTCATTTTCATCTCAAAAACATTGCACGCATCTGCCCCTACTTAACGCCTGTTAAGACACCTCCCGTGTCTTTAAGCCAAACCGCCGTTTAGTAAACCTTCCCCGGCTGCAGTACAGTCTCTGTTCGCTTACTCTGTAACCCACGAACCAAATGCAGGGGAAGCGGCAATCTCCCGATCGAAATCCACGAACGGCTCCAAACTCCCGAACGGCAATATAAGAACTGCTAGGAACCGTCGAACAATAATATCCCCAAAGCGGCTTTCGTTCCATCCAGCAGTCTCTAAACGTGAAGAAGAAATCCCCCCAATAACGAGACAGAAGCTCCGCATTGAGGGTCAAATAAGATCTGGGTTTACTGTGAGCTACCTGCCAGTATTTATGCAGGTCTCCCACCTGGTGGACACTCCCCTAGGGGACCAAATGGGAGACTTAAAGTACAGACAGATAGAAGGACATTTCAGACACACAGTCACATATTTTACCCACAGTGCATTCTGATTCCCTCCCCTCTGTCCTGGAGTTAATTACCAAGTAACTCAATTAACTCCAGGACAAGGACAGTCGCCATCTTAAACATGAAATAATAAAAGACACAAAAATGCATAACTACATGAAAACTGAACATTTCCCATTCGCATTACATGTCCCCAGATAGCCTGGGTCTGAGTGCATATTATTGGCGAATAGCGCTCAGATCCCACACACATAGTTCAATCGCCATGGAGTCAAAGTTCTTACAGTCCTTCGGTACACGAATGACTCCATGGGTGGGCTATCTGGGTTAAGTCCTTTGTGTGTTCTCAATCTCCCGAACGGCCGATGTTCGCATGCTTTCGTGGAGGCAGCCAGGCGTTCCCTTGTTTCAGCGGTGTTCGACAGAAAAGTGTCCGTTTTCCGTTCCATAGAAATAGAGCCAAACACCGCTGAGCGTTCGCATGATTTAAAATGGCCGCTGCCTCGTGGTCGACATACGAACGACGACCACCCTGAGTTCGGTTTAATTGAGAAGTGTCTGCGGTTAACCACAACGCTATAATGGTGATCACTTCGTTAACCTGCAGCACACTCCTCACTTGGGTGGCCGTTCGTTCGGCGGTTTTGTTCGGGAAAAAGAGTCATTCGAATGGCTGGGCTATAGAAACCAGCCATTCATACGAACGGGGACAAACAGACGAACGGGCAAAAATCCAGCAGACAGATGGTTCTGTCACAACGCCAGATGCAACTAAGGTGTTGGTCCATTCCACTGTCCTTTCTCGCCTTGACTACTGTAATCCGCTTCTCGGTGGTCTTACATGCTCCCAACTTGCGCCGTTACAGTCCATAATCTTCCTGTCCGCCCGCACCTCCCATGCCTCACCCTTCTGTCAGTCCCTACATTGGCTTCCTATAAAATATAGAGCTCAATTTAAAATTCTGGTTCTTGCTTTCAAATCGCTACATAATGCTGCTCCCACCTATCTATCCTCCCTTATACACAAGTATGTCCCGTCTAGGCCCTTATGATCTGCTGAAGACTTACGTCTATCTTCTGT